TTGGGGGGTGCTCAGTTAGGGACGCAACGTGAATGGAGCCATTTTTTGCTGAAAATTTTGTATATTACCTTCAATATAAAACATTCTCTCTGTGTGTGAAGGTTGCGACAGGTCGCACCATCTTCCTCGTGGCTACGTCTAGCGTCCTTAGCTCGCACCCAGCTCCATCGAATTAGGCTCTGCCTAGCGGCCACCCCCCGGAAACCGCCTCGGTCGGCGGGCGAAACCAAGTGAGTGTCTCCGGTGTGTGTCCTTCCCACACCCGGTATCTCCCCGGTCAGCAGTAGTAATTATCCTAGTAGACGTAGTAGACGGTGGGTACATAGCTAGCTACTGTACTCCATAGCTACCAAAACAGAACTGGAACCTGCTTTGTATTTCCGTAGTCATGCAGTAACCCTAGGTGCCACAGTAGCCCGCCAGTAGTAGAGTATTTTGCGGGGTACTTTCTCTATCCTCTCTAACCCTTATCACCAACATTACTAGTCATTACTACTACTCCTACCTATCAGTATCTACTTACTGCTACTAGAGCTTACTATGGACAATATTATTACTGTAACTACTACTACTGTCATCATTAACACTTGCGCCCCACTACTCCTGCAGCATCATACTGTATACTAGTACCTTCAACATTATTGATATCATTGTTAGTATTTACAATACCTTAGTAGGCGTGGTACTGCTATCTTGTAGAATTGTATCAGTTGTATCAGCTGCATTTTGTCTGTTATTTGTTCTCCATTATTCTGCTTGATTCTCTCTCTCTTTCTTGTTGCACTGCTGCCTTTCATTATCGAGGGCGACATGCAATCACGTGGGCGGCTCAAAACCAAGTGGTCGTTCTCGCACTAAACCTGATCGTGGCCCATAGTGCAGTCCTGCGGCAATTCGAGTGTCAAAGCAGTCCTATTTAGGAAGAGCGCTGCTTTCCCTCCCACGAGAGTTGAGGGGCTAGAAAAGTTGCCCTAAACAAATGCTGGGTCACGACATCTGCCAGCAGACCGTGGCCGACAGACTGCAACTACGCAGTCAAAACACTACAAATAGGAACCAAAATGTTTCTCGTCCCCACTCTTTCCCCCCTCTTTTCCCAATCTACCTGAGAGCTCAGGGTGTTAGGGTAAGTCCCATTACACTAGCAACTCGGAATGTCCGCTCTTTCCTCCACAACCCGAAGAACAACCGACTGGAATGGAGAAAAGCGCTAATCGCCCGGGAACTGGCATGGTTCAAGGTCGACATCGCCGCAATCAGTGAAACCCGTTTCTCCGATGAAGGCCGCGTAGAGGAGGTGGGTGCTGGTTATACCTTCTTCTGGCGGGGCCGCCCAAAGGCAGAGCGACGCGATGCTGGCATCGCCTTTGGTATCCGAAC